ATTCCCGGGCTACACCAAGGCCTAGTGAGTAAGAGACTCTGGGGGTGGGGCCCGGCTGGTTATGCCCTTCAGGTAGTACTGCTGCGTACTAACTGAAGTTTGGGAAGTACTGCTTTAACACCACGATTCTTACCTTTGACTGCTCAGTAGAGCCACCTCGGGAGTTTTTCAAAACCACCAGTGCCTATGTTATTTCTCCTTTCTGCCCCAACTCTGGATTGCCCTCGAGTGGGACCCTGAACAGGGTCCTTCCCAAAGTGATTCTAATGCATAGCCAGAGCTGAGAACTGCAGCTCTAAACTGAAGGTCACATGTAAACTGAGGGGAATCATACCTCATAGGGCTGTTGCAGGAATTAAGTGTTACAGTTTACAGGAAAAGTTAAGTGTAGGGCCTAGCGAATGGGAAAGCATGAGACCGATGGTAGTTATTGTTGTAATCATCCTCAGACTTAGATCGGCGCTACATTGTCAGGTCACGAAAGGACACGGGGAACTCCAGGGGCCTGCATTGGTGCATTCCGGTTATGGCTCTGAGGTTGCCTGGCCGTGCCCATTACTACTGCCATGAAGTGGAGTTTCCGTTGGTGTTTGTACCTACTTGCACACGCACCTGCTCTTTGCTGTAACCCCTTCTCTCTGCTTGTGAGGACCCTTCCTGTAGCAGTGTGGTGACTGGCTGTACAGGCTTTGATGTCAGGTGACTTGCATTTAAACCTCAGTCTAGATGCTTAGAGCTCTGTGATCTTGGACAATCTAAGCCTCAGTTTCCTCATCTGTAAAATGGGGATACTTGTCATGCAAGGGTTACATAAGGCCTACAAAGCCCAATGTCCAGCATGTAGTGAGTGCTACAGAAACATTGACATTACTTACATTCATTGCTTTCACTGCCTGTGAAGTCATTTCAAACCACATCTGATGATTCAAACCACATTGATGTCTCCTATCTCTAACTCCTTAAGAATTTAACTTTTTTAGTGTTGAATGTGCTGGTCATTTCTCATACTAGATAAACTCAAGAGTTTTAGATTCAAACTGTGTCCTCTCTGAGAATTTCCATTTGTTTGGAATGCTGTTTTTACTTTAAATTTAATGGTTCAATTAGTAACTTTGTGGTTCTTTTGGTAAGATATTCTGTATTGAGCACCAATGTAGATTATCAGTGTGGAAGGGTCCCTATTTTCTACAGTACATACAGAGAGCTTTGCATAAATGAATCTATCTCTTGCCTCAGAAAATGTTTCCTTAAAGTAGAATGAAAATGGTTTTAGGATCTACACTGAACTCTAGTTTCTACTTCAATATGAACTTACTGCCAGACCTCCAATTAAGTTAGAAAATTGGGTGGTTTCTTCGGCCATTCCTCCCACTAGTTTCATGACCCCCCTGTTTTGACGCCTTTATTGTCATTTAAAAAAACATTTCCCTGTTTTTAAGCTCAGCCTAAAAGTTTTATTGGTTTTCCATTTATCTCAGTATCCAGGGTTTTACTGGTTGTTTGTTTTAGTTAAGTCTTCTGGAATACATTACTATTTGTTTTGCTAATTCTATGTCATTTAAAAAAATGCTTTCTTTGAACTCACACATGAGTAATTACGAAAAAGGGCCATGAAGACAGGCCTGGCAGGTTAAAAGAACTTTTTTTTCTCTGCTGCTCTTGAAGTTTGTTCCCACCTCTCAGTCTTTACAAGTGGGCACTTAGAAGGTTTTGGGGAAATGTGTGAAGGAAGAGGAAAAAGGTAAAAAGGGTGGAGCGTTAGATTTTGACTTACGCTTCCATGGGAGGTGCTTCATAAATAAGATTATTACACGTGTGGGTGTTGTACACACACGACCGCACAGGGGCACACCTCGTTTTATTGTGCTTCGCCTACTGCCCGTCACAGATGTGCTTTTACAGATTGAAGGCAAGACCTTTCACCAGCAGAAAGACTGACTTGCTTTATTATTATAATATATATTATAATATATATTACATATTTAATATAGTATATATTATAATAAATATAAGTAACCATATATTGCAGTGGTCTGGAATTGAACTCACAATATCTCTGAGGTATTTCTGGGTGTATACATGATGGTTTTTACTTATTAAAATTGGTTTGAAACATTGATTTCTTGTTCCACTTATTTATGCAGTCACTGGCTGTTTCCTGTTCGTGCTCTGACTGGGGATCAAACCTGGGACCTTGGTGTATGGGACAACGCTCTAATCAACTGAGATTCCTGGCCAGGACTGCATGGTGCTTTTAAAAAAATGAGTGCCTGGCACCCATGATTCTGTACATAATAAAATTAATCTCCCACCTGCTTCTTCCTGAACCTACCATGATGCATGTGAATGTAGAGAACTTTGTATTTTCAGCAGATATTTGTCAACACTGTATTGGAAAATCTGCTAGTAAGACACAGCCAATTTTTATAGTTATACAAATAACTATGTAAAAATATTGGATTAATCTCTTACAATTTAGTTTTTTTCACAAATATGTTAATATTTCATTAATCCAGAGAAGTGTATTACCATGATTTTTAAAATTTTTTTTTAAGATTTTATTTATTTATTTTTAGAGAGGGAAGGGAGGGAGAGAGCGAGAAACATCAGTGTGCGGTTGCTGGGGGTCATGGCCTGCAACCCAGGCATGTACCCTGACTGGGAATCGAACCTGCGACACTTTGGTTCGCAGCCCATGCTCAATCCACTGAGCTACACCAGCCAGGGCTATTACCATGATTTTACAGAGGCAAAAACAGGTTCAGAGAAGACAAGTGACATAGGGTCACATAGCCAGTAAGTAGAACTCTGTCACAAGTTCATGACTTTTGAATCCAAAGCCCAGCCTCTTTTTATTATGCCATTGAAATCAAGGGGAAAATCCTCCATGCACACAAAATACCACACACTAGAGGGAAAACAAATAGTTTTGGTCTTGACAAGAGAACTTCAATTAAATCTGACTAGCCTGCACCTGCAGCTAAAGGTTTTTCTCCTCCAATTGCAGTTAGTCCTCGTATTAACCCTGGGTCACTGGTCATTTGCTTCCACTGTGCCAGGAGTTAACCCTTCATTTTGTCTCCTACTCTTCACCTGCTGCAGGTTCAGTACCAGCTATACTGAGTCACACACAGTGTTTCCTCTATCAGTTGGTTTTAGGGCATAGCTCATGTGCATGTATTTTAGCTTTAGTTTCTGGCTCGTAGCAGGGTGAGTGGCACTCTGACCTACTGAGGAGCGGTCTATGAGCTTCCTGTGAAACCGCGCTCAGGCACTCTGCAGGCTCCGGCCCATCAGGGAACCACCCACCAATTCAGTTTTCTGACTCAGGTTAGCTATTGGTATCTAGTATAGTTACTCTCTTTAAAGTGACACGTTAATTCTCCTAAGTTCTGGTAATTTAGGCCTTCTCCAAAAGTTGGAGATGACGTCGACCAGAACACCCGCTGGGAGGTTCTGCACCAGCGGGCCTGTTTCTCAGCCCAGTGTCCTGGGGCAGGCATCCACCCACCGGGCTCAGATACGCTGGCCAAGAGAGCGCCTGCGCCTTCCCGAGCAGATCCCTGAGACCTTGTCAACATTTTACAACACGCACATGCTCATTCACACTATTTTACAAGAAAGTCTACTCAGCTGTGCCTTCCACAGCTAGCCTGTGAGGCACGTGGCAGGCGGTCAAGGAAGACTTACAGCGTCTCAGCCTTCTGTGGGAATTCATGTCTATCAGATACAAACCATCTAATTTTTGTAGTTTCTATTGACTATAATATAGACCCTGGCCATACCACCTGCATTATTTATCTTTCGAAAATATCATTTATCTAAACATATGTAGGGGGATTCTTATTGGTTCAGGAATTATTCACAGGAAAGTTACTGCCAATACTTCTCAAGTTGCAGGGAAGGAAACCGTAGCTGCTGTATATTCTCTTGCCTGTGCACTGTGCTTTCTTCTGAGAGGCAGAAACAGGGGTTAAATGGTTAAGATGGTAGATTTTTTTTTATCATACTTAAAAAAAGAAAAATTTACTAGAGATCTTCAGAGCAACTCTTGGGAAAACAATCAGAGAAGCTCTCACGGCCTCACCAGTTTCCTCGCTAGCACACAGTAAAACGAGCAGCCAGCTACTCAATGTACACAACGGCCATCTCGCAGAGAAGACATCTCACACACTCCGATCTCTGGGGAAGGCCAAGCTTTTTCGCAGAACTTGCAAAAGGCTCTTCATGATCTGGCCTCTATTTCCTTATGACCAACCAGTACTAGTCAGTGGTCTTTTTGCAATCCCTTGAACAGGACTTACCTTAGGTTCAAGGGTGTCCAAACTGTGGCCTGTGGGCTGCATGCAGCTCAGGATGGCTATGAATGCAGCCCAACACAAAATTGTAGATTTACTCAAAACATTATAAGGTTTTTTTTTTTCCTTTGTGATTATGTGTTGCAATGTATTTACTGTGTGGCCCAGACATCTCTTCTTCCAGGGGGGGCCCAGAGATGCCAAAACGCTGGACACACCTGCAGGTGTCTCGGTGCTTCACTTTTCCGGCCACTGTCTTCTGCCTCACTGTTATCATCATCCCACATCATCTCTTCAGGGAGGCCTTCCAACGCCCTACTGAGGTCTGGACCTCCTGTTCTCTCTCTGGGTCAATCCACCCACCCTCTCCTAGAAGTCTGGATCTCTCCTTTGTAGCACTTAATACAATGTGTTTATGTAATTAGCTGATATTAGTCTCTCCCACAGTACTGAAAGTCCTGCCAGGTAGGGACTGTCTCTCTTGCTAATCACAGTGTTAGCAGGGTCCCAGTACCTTGTGTACAGCAGATACTCAGTCCTCTCTTACCAGGTACAGCCTTTTAGCCCACATATCTTACTAGATATTCTCAAGGGAGTGGGTGGAGAGGCACATAAACTTTGTGAACTTGGTGGTGGAGACAAGTGGCTGAACAGCCAGAGATGAAAGACTTCAGGGTTATGGAGGGAAGCAAGAGGGAGCAATGAGACTACAGGGTGCTTGTTTAATGTTTCCCTTCCACTTCCCCACCATCCCACTCTCACCCCGGACAAGCAATTCAACAATAACTTATGCATTCTTTTCTTTAGAGGTAAACCTCGGATTACAAAACCAAAGCCAAAATAATTTTGCAGAATTAGAATGTGTTCAAGAAACCAGTCGCAATTTAACCAGGTCGGACTTCAGCATGGAGATGACTGTGTTCCTCCAAATACAAGCTTCCACTCCTCCCACGTGGGGGAAGACAATAAACACTTTTTCTCCTGCTCTTAGTCACCAAGGAGGAAGCTTCCTCTCTGCATTGCCCAACGCTACTTCTTTTTTGCTGTTCTTTTCCCTTCTCCTTTCTTTGGCTTCCCCTTTCCACGAAGCTTCTTCAGACGCAACTGCTCATCCTTGAAGTCCTGATGCTCATCTCTGAATGGAGAAAGAAAGAATAAGCCAGTATTTTTAAAGACTGCAAAACTACACCAATGCAGCAGTGTCTCCTACGGTGGTTCTGATAATTAATCCTTGGCTTCTACAAAGCATACACTCAGCTTGGTGAGCAGAAAGGACAGGGAGTCCCCAACATACAGTTGTACTGTGTTCCAAAGTGCATTTCTAAGTCACAGTTCTCCCTCACAGAAACAATGTCACAAATAGCAGTTAATTCCTAGGCCAGCCATGTAAACCTATGTAACTATGATACGACACTAATGATGACCCAAAATTTCCTTATAACACGAAGACAAAACTCTGAGAGGGGCAGAAACTGGGTAAAAACTTTAGTAGCTGCATGGAGACCCCCAAATCCCCAGGAAGAAGCAACTATGACAAGGGGGAACAGTGTGGCAGAAGCCTCCTTAATGGCAGCAGGTAATTCACACCAGAGAGCTGCAGGGGAAAGGCAGGTGGAAGCCAAATCAAAAGACGGGTACTCTGGGGACCAAGGCAGCCAGGACTACTGGACACTACTGGATGGGTGTAAGATGAAGCCCGCCTAGAGTGCATAAAAATGTCTGCATTCTAACATCAAATACCTAAAGAACAGTGTGGTATTTATTTCATTTTATTTTTTAAAGATTTTATTTATTTTTAGAGAGGGGAAGGGAGGGAGAAAGAGAGGGAGAGAAACATCAATGTGTGGTTGCCTGTCGAGCATCCCCTACTGGGGACCTGGGCTGCAACCCAGTCATGTGCCCTGACTGGGGATCGAACCGGTGACCCTTTGGTTTGCAGGCTGGCACTCAGTCCACTGAGCCACACCAGCCAGGGTTGATATTTAAATATGTAAGCTCTGGAACCCATTCGAACCTGGGTTCAAATCACAGCTCCACCATTTAGTAGCTGTGCGACCTTGGATAAGTGAACTTCCCTTTCTGAATCTTCATCTCTTCATCTGTAAAGTATGGACAATACTGGCATGTCCATTAAATGTGAGAGTGGGGTTTGCTGGCCAACTTTTAACTCCCTAGGCTGTTTTAAAAGAGTGGTTTTATAGGTATGCTGCTTCAGTCCACGGACATGATGGGTACAACAGACCTCGTTGGGATTAGCTATGATTGCCTCAAATAATCTGTTCTCAACAGAGTGACTAGAGTAACTCTTCCAAAATATAAGTCACATCATGTTACCCCTCTGTTGAGAACCCTACAAACGGCTCCCCATTTCACCCAGAGCAGAAGCCAGAGTCCGCCCGTGGTCCTCAGAGCCATTCATGTCTGCCCGGGGACCCACCACTGTGCTGCTCCTGGGTCACACTGGGTGTGCGTTGGCCTCAGGGCCTTTGCTGTGCTCTTGCCCCTGCCACGAAAGCTCTTCCTCAGGTCTCACTGGGCTCACTCACCACCTCAACTTCACAGTGAAGCGAGCCCTGACAGTCCTGTTTAACACTGTGACCCGTCCGCTCCCCGCCCACCAAGCGCCTGCCAGCATCCTTGATCCTGCCCAGCCTGCTCTGCTCTTTTTCTTCCCGTGGATATCCAGCTTTGTAACACACCATAAATAATTTACTTATTTACTGTGTTTCCCCCCCTCGAGCACCCTCTCTCCCTCATTTCCATCTACTTCCAGCCAGAAAGAAAGCTCCAAAGTCAGGGATCTTTGCCTCTGTTGACAAAATGGCCCAAGTACCTGCTGGACTAAATGGGCCACTGCTTTTGAGCGCCTGTGCTTCCTTCCCCTGGCAGGTCTTGGGGTAATTAATATTTTCTTCACTGGAGGTTGTCTAGTTTCATCCTGCCGGATGCCACAGCAGGCCTTGCTTTCAAGGGCCTGTTTGCCATAACCAAACACATGAAAATAATTGCTTTCCCACGGATCACTAAAGTGTTTTTTCCCCAGTCCCCAAAGATAATCATGGCTTTTTTCCCCCCAAACAAAAAGAAAGTGGCAGCAAACAGGTACATTAAAATAGCTGAATGTGATTTTGTCATGGGTTATAATTTCCTACTTAGGAGATCTGCTTTCCAGCGGTATTTTCTTTTGGGCCATAATACAGTTCATTTTTTATCTTCTGAGCCCAGACAAATGGCAAGGGAAACTGCCCCAAAAGCGATTCCAGAAACTGAAAATGTGTCATGGATTATAATCTCTAATAATATATTAACTAAGAAAACCTATTGTATGTTGTTCACTGCTGCTCCCCTGTGCCCATGTTAAGTGCCCACACATGGCAGCTACTTAAAAAATATTCGTTGGATAAATGAATGGGCAAATCTTTAGCTACCTGAGATGAACTAGTAATTTTATTATACCAGAGTGAACAGTCCCAAATTAATTTGTTTTGTTGCCCTAACAGAAGTCCAATTAAAAACATGTTAAACTTTAGAAGCAGGCACTTTAACTTTAAACAGTTATGCACTATTTGAATTCTTTTGTAATGTTCATGTATTAGATTGTTAGGCAAGACTTTTTTTTTAAAGAAAATGATCATATAACTCTTTGATCTGTTTTTTGTGCAGAGTTGTATATAGTCCTAAGCTCCTACTTCCTATACATACTCAAGCATACAATTGCAAGAGCCTACTATTCTTAGTATTACTTATTATTCTATTCTAGTATCTATTATACATTATTGTTAACAGTGAACTACAGCTTACTTAGGCCATGTCAGTATATCGAAAAGGGTACCAACTAAAAATCCAGGAGAGGGTGGAAGGCAGTAAGAATGCCAACGAAACTGCCCGCAGGAAAGAAAGGTGGCTTCCCCTTGCCGGCTGGGGGGCAAATGGGCGCCGGGCAGGGACTCTTTCCACCTGACTGTCAGGAACCTGCTCAGTGTTTAGACCGGTTTCCTCTGCGTCTGCCCAGAGTGCCCTCGCTGATTGGACATCTCTGTGCGGCTCAGTGTCTGGTCAATGGTAAGTCACATTACAGTCCTAGTTAACATGTGTCTTCCAATAACTGCATGCTTCCTTTTATCTTTGGTACGCTGATTATGGATACTCTGAAAGCTTTGACCCTCAAACTGTACCTTTTGAACTACCTGGGCACTATTAGAAGATCCACAAAACTATGAAGATAGAAAGGCTATTTTTTTTTCTTTTTCTGATCTACTACAAAGATCTCTTAAAGGTTGCTCTTTGGTTTTTTGTGGTTGTTGTTTTTTGTTTGTTTGTGTCATTACCTGTAGAGGCCATAAAAACGCAGTATCCCCATGAGTGCAAAGTAAGTGTTGTGATTTGGGTACCAGTCGTAGGTCTCCTTCCTCTTGGCCAAAGGCTGCTCACTGAACAGTTTCACCACTTTCATGGATTTGGAATCCGTAGGCCTGGCGACCTCCCCAAAGAGCCGGGCACTCAGACGAGACATGCGCAAGGCATATTCTGAGAGCGGTGACATTTCTGGGGCACCGAGGAGCAGGAGTCCCTACAGAAAAGGAGAAGACAACCAGGTTATTGTAAGAAACACCCAGGTTACCGAATGAGCACCTTAGAAAATCAAAATGCAGCAAGTTACGTGCGGACCAGTTCATGTTGCGGGCCGGATGTGCCTTGGGGTCGAGAAATATCCACAGTACAAGGGGCTGTTTCCCTTTGCATGTTTTACATTTGCAGTTTTTACATTTGGTGTGCACTATGGCTCCTTGGCTCTACTGCCCTTTCTACAATGAACTGTTCTGTGATTTCAATAGGTTATTTACTGATGGTCAGTTTACCTATTCGTAGGCTAGGTAAGGGTAGAGGAACAAGTTTTCCTACCCCAGCGTCATTATACCTTCAGAAAACACCCACCTAAGCAGTCTGCAGAATAAATATGCTGACTGCTTGCCATCTGAAGGTTTAATCACGGCAGAGAAATAATTATGCTGTTGTCTTTATTATCAGCCCTTTGAACACGGATCTCCTCAAGGGCTCCAGATGGCTGAGAACTGCTAATGAGTGATGAGGTCATTTAGCCTCTAGGTTGCTGGACTGAAATCTGCCTAGAGACTGAGAGCCATTTGGGAAAAACAAACAGAGACAGTAGTCTTATGGAAATAACATGAAGAGCTCAAAAGATTGGTCTTATTCCTGAATAGAGGGCACTTATGAATTGTGATGCTACTTGTCCTATCTTCCATCTCATATATTTTACTTTGATGCAAACTAGCTAAGATCTTATTAGCTGAAAACAGTAATTTTTCCTTCAGAGGTACAGAATGTTGAAATAGGTATACAAATGATATCTGTAATATACAGAAATTACAGCTACTATATATCAAAAACTATGTAGGTTATACATAAAAATCAAGAATGTTGTTGGTGGAATAACTATCTTATGTCATTCCAGTTAAAATGTAGGGGTAACTACTGGCAGAATATGCTAAGTTACGTGACATTTTTGTACACAGTGAGATGAGAATTTGCTAAGAGACCATCCTGGGGGGTAGTTCAGTTGAGATTAAAAAGGAGTGGATCTCCAAACAAAAAAAAGTCATAAACCTATCTTGGAAAACCAGTGGGAGAACTATACAAAAACCCCTCCTCAACAGGAATGATGCCAAGTAAATTTCAAAATAGCTCATGTAAGAAAAAAACAACAACAAATAATACATGAACTAGTGTCTTAATTAAGGAGTATTTCATGTCCATGGTAAGATGCACTCAAAGCGCAGAGGCTGGCCTCAAACCACCTTCTGAATTGTCAGTCTCAACCCACTTACCATTCTGAAACCAACCAAGCAAACTTGGGCTAATAGTGCCACCTGAAGGCCAGCAATGGGAGAAGTGTCAGATCCAAGGTCTCTGCCTTCCCCCTGCCCCCCAAACCTGGGTCTGTGCAAGTCTTGCTCTTTCTTTTTTCCTTCTCCTTTCAGTGAGCTGGGTTCCCAGATTCACTTCACTCCCAACACTTGCTCCATTATGTGGATGGGGATGGGGTACTATTTTTATCAATGAGGAACAAAGTCATTAATTGTTTAATGCAGTGATTTCCAACTGATAGGCTGCAAGAATTTTTAAAACATGCAATACTTGACTGTTTAGTCAGGGGCACTGACACATTTTCCTTTAGATTGTCAAAGAAAAAAATGACAACAGCCATCACAACAATAACCATGTGGTGTGAATGAATCAAAATTGTACCTATTTTTTGTCAGATTGGCAAAAATGTATTTTTTTTTAGTGTGCCACAGACCTTTAGTAATTAGTTTACGTGTACTGAGATAAAAAAGGTTGAAAATGGCTGGCTTAATGTATGAATAGAAAATACTTAACAAATCAGTGCTTTAAACCTCCAAAGGCCTTGCAAATGTCCAGTAGTTGCCTTCAGAGTTATAGTTTCTTTGCATGCTTTATCTTTTCTCTGCTTCCTCCCTTTAAAGCTATGCTTTTCCAAACATCAGAGGAAAAAAAAAGCTTTCTTAATCAACTTTGCTTTGCTTAATCACTGTTATGGCATCAGAATAGATTTCTGTTGCAATTGCATGCTCTTTTCACAATCAGTTCTTTGTAAGGTGGCCTAGGAACCATTAGTTAGGTTATCCTGAACCTGTTCTCTCCCAATCTGAGTTTCCTTTTAGGATAACAAAGCTCACAGGACTACTGTGAGAAATAAGGCAGTGGCACCCAGTAAATGGCATTCCTTAAAAAAAAAATCTAAATCTGTTGGTAAGTTGGTGCTTATGTTCTATCAGACAGATTTGTTTATTCCTGTCCTTAATTAATCATGCAAAAGAGAGAGAGAGACTCTATGAAGTTAGACCTGTACCTCTCTAGGATAATATCCTTACTTACAAAGACCAACAGCCAGAGGAATGGGGGAGGGGACCAGTAGCTTGGTAACATGACAGATAACAAGCAGGAAGGGACTTATTAAGACAGTGGTCACTGAAGCCATCACAGGATGCTAAGTTATGTCCATGCCCACTTTAGAATGAATGTAGCACATTACTGGGACACATAGCCTCATACATCATAAGGTCTCATTAGAACCCACTGGAACATGGTTATATCACAAAATCCAAGTCCTAAAACTTTTATGACGGAGAAAGGGAATGTAGTAGAAACAAAGAAGCACTTGATAAATAGAAGGAAACTGAAAATGCTTATAATTACCAGTTACTGCTCTGTAGTCTCCCTCCACACAGCACATGTCTGAATAAGAATGGCACAGGAGATTGATGTTCTGATGTTCTTTTTTTTTTCATACAGGCTAAAAAAGCTAATCAGTTCTGCTTTCCATAAATACTGGTTCTAAGACCGGCAAACTGCCACTTTTTTACTAACTTTAAATTTTAAAGAAAGTTCGAAAGCCTTACTTAGGACTTTTCAGGATCCTGGTAGGCCTCTTTACAGATTCTTTCAATGTTATCTTTAAAAAAAAATTATGAGGACTCTGTTAAAGGCATGAAAGTAAAAGGCAAATAATTTACATGTCAATTAGACACGTAAATTTTTTTCACATGAATCCATTCTAATGGGTAGAATTAAATCATTTTCTTTCAATGTGAACTAAAAAATCAGTATCATGAAAAAAAATGTACTGTAGTTGAAAATGCTAAGCAAAAACAAATTACTCAAACATATTAAGCACACACAAGAAAATTCCCACGTTTTGACCTTGGCATAAAAGGGCGAATTTCTTTTGATCTTTCTGATGGGTCTGAAGCACTTACAAGGTCAGGCTTACTGTTTATTTCAATATTGGCTTTAGATTAGGTTTGCTTTTTTCTTTGAAAAGTGCAAGCGTTCTTCACCTGGATATCCAGTGTGGTGAATCCCACGGAACGTTAAAAATGTACACTGAAATGTGAGTGTAGGTGTGTGTAAATCCTGCTGGGGAGAGAGCTTTCTCGGTTCTCCAAAACCAGTGGTCAGAGGGGCACACCAGCTTTGGTGCAGAAAATGTGTTTGGAATTTTGTCTCTGCTCTTTGATGGCCATGTGAGGTTTGTAGTAGTAGTAGTAGTAGTATTGTAGCCTTTGCCTTCGTTTTCTCATTTGTCCATGAGGACAGTTACACTACCTCCTGCATCTTGAGGCTGACGTGTAAAATGCCTGGCACAGTGCCTGCCCTAATAATCGCCAGGCCTCAAGGAACTCACGCACACTGTACACACGCGTTTCACAGGAAAGCAATCTAAACGCAAGGCTTGACTATTTTTAAAGCCCTGTACCGATTATTTTACCGGATGGTATAGAGGCACAAACGGCTCTGAATATAGATCTAAAGTTACTCAGTTCAACGAGAACACGCCAAACCCCTCAACTGACTGGATCGTGCCTGCCAGTGATGGAAGGATTAGGGTCAAGTCATCTGATAATGAATAGACAAGGTATTTAGATAATTTTATTTACGTTATCACTTTATTATATTTTTCTTAAACTGGAACAAAATTAATCTGCATGCCCCACACCAAGCTACGGTGCATAAAGCCCTCTGGTGAGCACAGAAACTGAGGCTTGAAAAGTTCCTAAACAGGAAGACAGTGACTGCGCGGGAGAGGGAACTACGCTACTGCCCCTCGTTTGGAAAATCCCCCAATTCACGCAGGAAAAGGTCCAGTTGATTGTATGATACCGGCGAAACCTCCAAGCTGCTTCCTAATGAAATGGACTCGTCCAGTTCTCGGCGACCCTACAAGGTCGTGCACGCCCGCAGGACATCTACGGCCACCGCCCACGCCATACCACAGACCCCCGCGAAAGACACGGACTGCCTTACCTAGTGGTGACCTCCTTCCCCCCACGCGCCCTTTTGCCGGAAGACCCGCCCCTAACCCGGCTCCAACTCACGCCTGTAACGGCGGCGGAGAGCAGTAGAGAAACGAACGCTTGGGGACTAGAGGGGCTCCCTGCTGGAAGACCCGGAAGTACTAGCGACCGCACAGTGAGGCTGGCGCCTCTGGGTGTGCGGAGGACTGAGAAGATGGTGGTTCAGGGGGAAAGACTCACTTTTGTATAAGATCCTGCAAGGTTCGCTGACTGTTATTTTGTTGGAAATGGATACACAGCTGCCCCGCAAACCTCTGAAGCAGTGGTTGTGTGTGCGTCTTGTGGAGGATAAAATGCCCTTTCTTGTTTTCTTTCTAACTCTTTCTGGGTGTTTTCTTTCTCCTTTTTATCCACCCGGGGCCTTGACGTATCCTAGGGCACTCCTAGATTCTAGGGGCTGAAGAGTGTTCTGAACCACGTTGGGTGGTTCCATACATCTTTCCTTCCGCCCATCTACATACTCATCCTCCAATAGGCGATTAGTATCATCTGCAGGAAGCCGTTCTTGATACCCCCTTGCTGGCTTAGGGGCACTGTTTGGAGCCCTACGTGTGTCCCTCTCCCCCGTCGGCCTGGATGCTTTTTCGGGAATAGGGATGGGATATTCATCTGACTCCTCAACAGTTCCCCAGCCCTAGTTGGCAGATAGTAGAAACTGGTTGAGTATTTCTTTCCATACTAAGTCTACTCTCAAGCAAGCCACCTCCGTAGACATTGTATGAAACATTTATTGAATGGGTGATAGTTTGAGGGCACTGCTTTTCTGAGTATTATTCAAGACCTTTCATAAATACTCTAAAAGGTACCCGAGAAATAAGGAAAATCGCAGTGAGCCGTATATATACGTAAAATGTATTCTATTGACACGCACTTCTCTTGTATAGAATGTTATGTTTTGACACCAATCTGTGCTATAGAATTTTCTTGAATCAAGTTAAGTTCTGACATGTTGTTATTCTATGGGGTACTATTAGCCACAGAAACTTGGGTCTGGTGTAAGAAGTTTACTACAGTTGTATTAGTACATGGTATAACGAATACCCCTCATCTTATTTTGCATTGCTCAGCCCCCAAAACTCTTCTGGGTAGAAATTTCACCTTCTCTTTTGTATTTCTGAGAGTTGGCTTGCTTTTATTTTAATGGCCACTGAATCATGTAAACAAGGAGGCTTCCTTTGTATATTGGCTGTTAGAAAGTTTAAAGCCAAATTTGCAGTGGACTCATGGCAACAACTATTATATGTATATTTGCATAAACTTTGTTGTGGGCTCTATTTTGTATATGTCTTCAGTTTTTCACCTAGTTATTATTTGTGTTAGTATGTTTGTGAATCTCTGTATACTACCATAGCACTTTTAAAAAAAGTTTTGTTTTTTTTTTAATCATAACTCTTTCTTGAAAAATAGCAAGGTATAAAGTTATAGGTGGCCATGTACTCTGGGCACTTTGCACTGTGACCTTCTTTAAGTCAAGTTAATTCGTTTTCTGAGCCTGCTGTAACCAAATACCACAAACTTTTTGGCTTGAAATAAGCTCTGGCTGGTGTGGCTTAGTGGATTCAGTGCTGGCCTGTGAACCAAAGGGTCGCCAGTTCGATTCCCAGTCAGGGCACATGCCTGGGTTGCCGGCATGGTTTCCAGTTCGGGGCCTGGGAAAGGCAACCACACATTGATGTTTCTCTCTTTTTCCCTCTCTTCCCCCTTACTAAAAATAAATAAAATCCTTTAAGGGAAGTAGCCCTGGGCCAAGGTGTTGCCAAGGTGTTGACAGGGCATGCTCCCTGCAGAGCCTCTAGGGCAGAATCAGTTGTCTGACTCCTCCAAGCTTCATTGACTTGGGGGTCACATCACTCCAATCTGGAAATTGGTCACTCACTGACCAATGGGAAAATTTGAATATTAGGGTGGGCAAAGTAACACAACAGAATAAAACTTAACGTCAACTTAATGTCCTGCGGATGTTGACTTCTAGTTGACTCCTAGACCTCAGTGGACTCACTTGCACCTCTAAGCTAAGGCTTTTCTTTCTTTCTTTTTCTTTTTTTTTTTAACCTCACCTGAGGACGTGCTCACCGATCCTAGAGAGAGGGGAAGGGAGGAAGAGAGAGAGGGAGAGAAACACTAATATGAGAGAGAATCATTGATTGGCTGCCTCTCCTACACACCCTGCTTGGGACTGAACCTGCAATCTAGGCATGTACCCTGACTGGAAATCAAACTCATGACCTTTTGGTTTACTGGGGGCCCTTCCAACCAACTGAGCCACACCAGTCAGGGCCAAGCTAAGGCTTTTTAAAGGACACTCCTTATAATTAGGGACTGCCTTACATTGTTCTATTTTCTACAGCTCATTGTTTTAAAATTGTGAGCTATGAATCATTAGTTGGTTGTGAAATGAACTTACTTGGTTGCGACCAGCATTCAAAGACATTAGAGTAGGGAATATCAGAGTGCATTACAAATAGTGAGGGTGATTACTGTTTCATGAGACTACGTATGTGTGTGTTGGACCATAATGTAAAATATACTTCTTACTTTAAGTTGCAGTAAAATAGAAAGCTTCCTCTGTAAGCAATTTCATTATTTATCATATTGTATGGCACATCCTCCTTACCATTAGATAGAGCAAGAACTGAAGCTTGCTTCAACTTCAAGTTCTTACTGTGTAGCATAGTCCAAGGGGCAAATGGATACTTACTCCTCTAAGTAAATTAATTTATGGATCCCCTGTAAGTACTCTTTCCTAGAATCAGGTAGGTTCTTGCCTTCTACATTGGCACTTACATTAATTCTTTTCTCATTTTACCAAAGAAAGGTGTATCCCTCATCCAGGGTGAAAAACAATGGGGCGGTTCAACGTGCTTCAGACTCACGGGAAGCTTCCTTAATCAGTCAAGGCACTATAAGCCCTTACACTTCCTGTCTTTTCCTGTCTTACATGCATTCCTGATAAGGGTGAAGTATGGCTGTGAGAAATGTAGTAATTGGCCCTGGCTGGCGTAGCTCAGTAGGTTGAGTGCAAGCCTGTGAATCAGAGGCTTGCAGGTTCAATTCCCAGTCTAGGGCACAAGGCTGGGTTGTGAGCCAGGTCCCCAGCATGGTGCACGTGAGAGGCAACCACACATTGATATTTTTTATCCCTCTCTTTCTCCTTCCCTTCCCCTCTCTCTAATCTTAAAAAAAAAAAAGAAAAAGAAATGCAGTAATTGGCTATTTGTTGTGATTTTCTGAAATCAGATGCACTGTGTGAGTGTGAGTGTGGGAAGAATAGTAAGTTACCTCTAATCATCACATGCCTTTCATCCTCTGTGGTTAAGAAGTGCATTGTCACTGGAGAGTCTGGTGAGAGCAGAGTAAAGCCAGCACTGAAGAAAATATTGATCCATCAATTTTTACTCATGTATTTAAATATAAGGGATTTTTTCAGCTATTTTCAAAACTTATCCATAGGATGTTTCATTGTTTGGAAAGAAAAGCAACTTTGAAGAGCTGAAGTAGTAGACGTTAGTGACAGTGATTATTTTTAATGAAAAGTGGATTAAGAGACATTTATATTTTTCACAATACAGTGGAATAATCTACAAAACAATCATGCATAGTTTTCTTTGATATGTTAGTAATAAAGGTTAAATACATATTGTGAAAATCATTGACATAACTGGCCAAATATTTTCCATTCCCCCTCTCCTGGTATAAGGTTGGAGTGCATTTTATGGCACTCTTGGGATTGGGGAAAGCCACAGGACTCTTTGGCCAGTGACTTACGAACAGAAGTGAAGTGTCATCTTCACCCACATGAAACTCTCCAGAGCTCTCTTTTCCCTCTCGCTAGGGGGCCGTTGTTCTATCGGCCTGGGCCCCTGTGTGATTATGAGGAGCAGTTTCTGTTCTGCCAGACACACAATGTGCATGGAGCTTAGGTTAGAAATGAGCCTTTGTTGTTTTAAGTCATGCAGTTTTGTTGTCTGTTATCCTGTCTGATTCTACGCCAATCAATTTTAATAACATACTTTTATTGTTCATTAAATATACAGGAAAAATTTTTATTATGATTTAAAAAAAACTGATTAAAACTATTACAGAATGTTCATGTGTTTTGTTGTTGTTTTTTTTTTTAATCCTCACCGGAGGATATTTTCATTGATTTTTAGAGAGAGAGGAAGGTGAGCAGGGAGAGAGAGAGAAACATCCATTGGTTGTCTCCCATATGCACCCTGACTTGGGATTGAACCCACAACCTTTTGGTGTACAGGACGACCCTCCAATCAGCTGAGCCACCTGGCTGGGGCTTTATATGTGATTCTTATTTAGTTATTCCTGAGAGCTGAAAACCAAACTTAAGTGCACACCTAGACATACTTAATGAAGGAACACTGTGCTTTTTATCATCCTCAAATTCATAAACAACACTTATTTAATATGTTTTGCTATTATGAATTAGGTAAGAAGAAAAATATATAGATTCATTCTTGGTTTTACAATATTATAAAAATGTATAAACTAATTCTGTTAGTTCCTGCATCATTTTAACTTGGTGGCTTTTAATAATTAAGCTTATGGGGTACATGATGTAGAAAATATACATCAAACTACAGTACATATATTAACATATTTTAAAGATATGTTTATTGATTATGCTATTACAGTTGTCCCCATTTTACCCCTTTGCCCCCCTCCACTCAGTACCCCTCTTCCCTCCAGCAATTCCTCCCATTTAGTCCATTTCCATGGGTCATGTATATAGGATCTTTGGCTTCTCTATTTCCTATACTACTCTTAACCTCCCCCTGTCTATTTTGTACCTACCAGTAATGCTTCTTATTCCCTGCACCTTTTTCCCCATTCTCCCCTCTCTTCCTCTCTGCTGATAACCCTCCAAATGATCTCCATATCTATGATCCTGTTCCTGTTCTGGTGGTTTGCTTAGTTTATTTTTGTTTTTTAGATTCAGTTTGTTGATAGTTGTGAATTTGTTGTTACTTTAATGTTCATAGTTTTGATATTTTTCTTAAGTCCCTTTAACATTTTGTG